TACTGCTGATGGCATTACTGAAGGCTCTTGCCCTCCTTGTTATTAATAGCACAAAGACTTACTTTCATGATTTCCACAGTGTAATGAGATGAGTTACTGTAGGTACAGTCACTTTCTTATTGTTTCATTTGAGACACCAAGTACAAATGTTCCGACTCCAAAAATCTGTGTCTTGGCATGCTTCATAGAGTAAGAGAAGTGAAGCGCTGATCACCCACACATCCAGAGCCTTGCTACTCCACAGAGTGGTTAAGTCCATGCTGACACACAGGAAAGCTCAGCCAGGAGCAGACAGTGGCTTCACTAAAGTAGCCTTTACCATTTAGATGATAGAGCAGAGAACATTCAGCCTAAATGTCTTCAGCACATCCTTGCTCAGGTGGAGCCACCACTGCAAGAAGCTGGCAGTAAGCAGGAGAAGAATCTACTGACAGTGGTTCTCAAAAAAAAAAAGAAAAAAAAAGAAAAGGTGTACAGAGACAGATGGAGATCTGTGGGAGCCAGAGGGCACAGTCACTCTGTCTCACCATAAGCAGGCCACAAGCCAAAATGAAAATGCTCCTTAAAATAACAGAAAAGAAAAACATCCATTAAATTGGGTAAGTGGGGAGGGGAAAGCCACCATGACCTTGTTCCTTCCAGCAAACTAACTGGTTTGAGTCTTTCAGTATGTACAGTACGCACCAGACCTTGGCAGCGGAAAGCATTACAACAGGTTGTTTTTTTTTTGCCATCCCATGGAAAAAAAAACTTTATCCTGTAGGAGAGTTTTGCAATCTTCAAGAAAGCTCTGTGGAAGATACAGGCATGAAAAAAAAAGAAAGATCTCAATACGTGGATGAACTTAACTTGCTGGTATAAATGTGCATGCTCCACATTTAAGCAGAAATCAAATACCCTACAAACACCCCAAACACAGCCTGAGAACAGAAAATTGTTGCCTAGCCCAATACCAGTTTCATTCCGGCTAAAGCCTGCATTGCAAATGGTGAATTTGTTTTCAAAAGCTTAGCAAAACATAAGTCAGTTTAATTATCTAGAAGCCAAATCTAGATAAGTGGTGCAAAGGGGTCACCTACTTGAAGCCCCGCCCTGCCACACACTATTCACAGGATACACCTTTATGTATTTTTTAAGTATTCCTTTATTTTACGCTACATTTGTCTTAATAAATTTATCTTCAATATTGGAAGTGGTGTTTCTGATACCACTGTTTCTACTGTTGTACTGAAGTTTTGGAGATATCCAGACCAACATACTCTCTTAAGTCTATTACATACATTCAGCCTCACCTTGTCCTTTAGAAGGCACCTGACAAGTGACATTAGTCAGTGTTGCTATATACTCCATCACCTCTGGCTTTGTAAGAAAGTTGGAATGTGCCATGTACAATATGGGATACAATAGGACAGCAGTCACTAAGGAAGGAGATTTAATTGACATGCAAGCTTGTGTCTGCCTAGCTGGCTGGAGATCCATTTGTGTAAGGTTTGTTTGTTGTTTTTTTTTCAAACACCAGCAGATAAACCCATGGCTACAGACAGAAAACTAACTTTTGCAGGTGGCAGCTTTTAGGGAACTGGTAATGAGGCACAGCCTGTTTTAGTGGCTGACACCTGCCTGTTAACAACTGAAAGGCACAGCCAGATGATGCAGCTATTGCAAGAGGAGACTGACCATCCCGGCGTAGTTCTCATTCAGCAAGCAAATGCATCAAATGATGCACAAACATTGTCTTACGCCTTCTTTGCATTTGTCCAGCATCTGGTCCAACAAGGCTGGTCTTTGGAGGAGATCCCCCAGTCTCCAGAAACACAAATAACCACCAGAGATCACCACCATCATCTCACTGGCAGGTTGAGCATCAGGGCAAGCAGCTGAAAGAAAGTCAGGAGTCTTATTTACTTCCTTGGACTGAGCTCCAAATGGGCAACAACCCCATATAAAGGGGCATGCAAGGATCCCACAGGTCCTCCTGGTGGGATCAGGACTCCCACAGGATGATGAGTGAATCTGGGAAGCAAGGGGTTTTGGGGAAGCACTGTGGCAACAGAGCAGCACAATAAAACCTGCTGCATCTAGAAGAAAGAGAAGCCAAAGCTCATGCCTGACAGGTGTAAGGTAACATACTTTACACTCCTTTGTGAACATGTGAAGCTTGTTTTCAATTTATACTAAGGTCTTCAGAGTAAGAAGCCAAGAGGCATGACTTTGCTTTACATTTAATCTTTAATCCTAGTGTAACTTCCTGTAAGGAAATAAAAAGTCTGCTACTGTCATTTTTGTTGTTGCTCCTTATATGCCATCATAAATGTTGGAAACACGGAATTATACATAATATTGTAAGCATTATTTTCAACCAGACCAACTTTTAAGCAGATAACAAATAGCAACTTATGTACAAAACAGATAACCCCTACTGAATAATGTATTGTTGGGGTTTTTTTGCTATTGTAAGGCGCTTTACTTTCACCTAGCAGAAAAGTGAATTTGGTTTGAAACTAGTCAGTGGTAGAAAATGAACAGATAAAGCAAACTAAAAGCAAGTTATCTTTTTTCATTTAAAATATATGTTGTTTCCCCTAATATGGCAAACAATTACTAGTGTATCTCTGTAAGCAAGGACTATCCCCGAGTCTTGCCAAAACCGGCCAAGCAAACCAGAGGCTTCTTGGTTGTGCAAACAGATTGATAACTTAAGAGTAAGCAGAGATCTTTAATGTCTGTTTGACAGTAGAAATAAGGCAAATTCTCACAAGGTTTCATTTCATATTATGGGCCAAAATCCACACTTAACATTAGCAGGAAACACTTGTAGCAGCCTGGGAAGAACATTACAATGACACAGCTGAGCCCCAGGGCTTGTCTTGCTGCTTCTATCCACCTCCCTCTGCCAGTGCAGCACCAGCAGTAGAACATGGCAGGACAGCATAGCACCCACTCTGAGGTGGAAGAGTGGCACAGGGACTTTCTACAGACCAAGAGGTGAAAGAAGTCTACATAGGTCCATGTAATGTGTATGTACTTGCTTCTCTTGTGACCCGCATTGTTGCCAGGATGCAGACTCAAACGTACTCAAATAAAAAGAAATAATTACCATCCTCCCCTCCCCCCCCGAAAAAAGTCACTGTTTTACATTTCAAATTCTTGTGAAGAAACCATCCTGTATATGCAAAAAATAGATCAGCCCAGATTCACAACCACATTTTGTATATAAACAGAGCAAGCTTGTTCAATCTTGGATTTGTCCCATTTTCAGTATTTTTCTAGTTTTGCCATGTTCTTCCTAAACTGTGGATCCAGGAGTGCAATATTTTAGATGCATTCCAATCACACACATACTGTGGTGCTCCTCTTGTATTTTCTGTACCCTCTTCCTGTATTCACAGGGACATTTACTTGCAAATACAGCATTTGCAATAGCTCTACCTGCTGTCAAGGCTTCACATCACAACTGTTTCCAGGAGTTTATAGCATTGCCAGACTACAGCTGTTCTGCCTGTGTTTTCCATGCCAAGAATCTGTCTCAAAGGGAAGTCTTTGGATTTGCAAAAACCAAATCAGATGTTTCTAAGAACAAGAATGGGGGGGGGGGGGGGAACATAGTACTTTAAGCACAAAAGCATTAGCAACTGCAACCTCAGAGAAAGGTTCTACAGGCAGGCAGAAGAGGAACCAGTAGGCCACAGATAAGCAAAATAGAGAAAGCAAGTACTGCAAACTACTGTACTGCATACACAATGCAAATTCTTCCCAAAGGAATTATCTAAACAGGGTTAAATATTTCACCGGGACTAATACTTTATTTTTATCAATCAATCTGCATAATGTAAGCTGGCATTCTTCACATTTCAATTTTGCTTACAGTCATAAAACTAACTCCGCAAACCATCCCCAGCTATATGTTATTTTTATACCTAAGAGCACAGAGTGATGGAAACTTGGCAGGACAGATCTGACTGAGAGAAAAATTGTTCTACTTCCCAAACATACCAGAACACAACCATGCTCCACAGTCTGATTTTAAAGCAGTAGGATGAAAGTGACTCAGCCTACATTAAAATTAGAGGTACGATGAGATTGAGACTGCAAGATAAGTACTGAATTAAATGCATTTTTACTTGACTTAAAGAAGCTTTTTCATTAATGACTGCTGAAGGAAATACTGGAAACCTAACAGCTTCAGAAGCCTGTGAAATTGTCAAACCCACAAGGTGTTTTATGGACCTGCGAGAGCCACCTGCCACCGCTCCTGTAGGAAAGCCAGAAGCAACAGAGCACAGGGGCTGTACAGGGCAAAGATGGTGCTGTGGGTCTCATTCCCTGCAACACCATGGTCAGGCACTCCCAGCCTCAAGCTGCTGGTGCAGGAGGATGAGGCCAAGACTAGATGAAATAGGACAGTAGCTGCACCATACCACATACATGCCTATTGGCAGTGGCATCCCAGCAGCAAGCACTCCTGCTGAAAGCCTCTGCAGCCCCGTTTACCAGGATCCCCATGGTACTTTCCCCAAGCCTACCTCTTCCCCTGACCACTGCGAAGCTGTCCCAGCCCTGGCACCCGTGCCCCCCCACCACAGCAGGTAGATGCTGCAGGCTGGCAAGCAAGCACCAGTCTCCCCACTCTGCAGTGCTCCAGCAACAGCCTGAACTGCATGGCACCACTACACACCAACAAAAGATTTTCTCGAATCCAATACTGACACAACTTACACAGCTGTTAGTTCGCTCACGGCAACCCTGACAAGCTTTTCTGTATCTTCTGTTGCTTTTCTTTATGTTCAGAGACAGCAGCATAGTGTTTCTGGAGCCTTTGATAATGGATACATATTTAACCTCACCCATACATATACACACACACACATTTTTAAATATACATAAAAAATATAAATCCCTCCAACATTTCAAATGTTAGATAAAAAAGCATTAGCTGGAAGAGTTCACTAGGCCAAATGACCAGATCAAGACATACCCATTCTTCCAGATACACTACTTACAGCAAGGAGGAATATGTAACCGCCTAGTGTTTCTGCCTGCTACCTCCCCAGGCTCTTCCTTTCTCTGACAGAAAACCCTCCAACTGGCCCTGTTTTGTTCTGTAGTACATTTATATTCAGCTCCTTTGCCTCAGCTGAATTCAGGTGCATGCAGGCATTTGGCACCTGCATGTGGGTATTGCTCCTGGTGAGATTTCTGTAGGTTCTTCATTGCCTAGGTTTCTTTCTAATAAATCCTAAAGAGCAAATTAGAAGCAAAAAAAATAATAGAGAAATTCTTTCAATTATTTTCTGCCTTTCTGCAATATGCATACACACATTCTTGCTACATAAGAATTCTTCATACACACAAGAAATGTGAGAAATCAACTGCCACCAAAGGACTCTCTGTCTCCCAACATGGGTTAACAAAGACCTGCCCAAGTTCATGTTTTGAATGGTTTGCACAAGTAACTGTTGCAGTTTCCTCCTTAATAGGAGGACACAGAGGACAATACCGTTATAAATTACTATTCCATCCATACAGTTGTGCTGGCTGCCTCCCTACATTTCTAGTACAAGCTCAGAGAGCCACTGACCTGCTGAACTGGCACCATACTCAGGAGATCAGGATGACAGGCAGAGCTGGGGTGCCCAGCTTTTTGTGCATGGATCGTTTTTACTACCCAGCACTGAATGATTGTGGTGCGTAGGAGAGGACAAGAAACCACAGGCCACCAGCATTTTGATGCTAACAATTTAAAAAAATCAGCAAGACTAAATGACAAAGAATCTGTTACTGACTGAACAACATAGAACCTTGTTTATCTGGATGGACATGTGTGAAATAAAGGTACCTACAAAAATAATTTGCGCCAGCCACAATGTTTGAAAGGGGTGCTCTCCCTGTTGTCTGTGAAGGAAAATAGAGGCCAGACAGTAATGGGATGTGCAGAATTGGAACAAGTGCTGGCACCACGCAGTGTGAGATGGCCTGAAGCCACCAGCCCTGACAGCTATTGGGCACTCCTGCCACTGTCTGCACACAGGATTTCTGACTTAGCGGAACAATACAAAACACAACATAAATGCAAGTTAGCAATTGCAATACACAGTTCAGTCCTCATACCAGTGTGATTCCCTGATTCCCATTGCCATTCTCCATAGTACACTCACTGTCACAACACTGGGCATCCCCAAACAGGGATATGTGGGTTGATGCCAGCTCAAGCCTGTTGTTCTTCAGAATTCCCCTGTTAGCTGTTCAGATGTTTTATCCTAGGTTGGGCTGAGCCATATAAGCACTCCTCCCCCCTCCCTTGCCAGCATGGCTAACTCAGGGAGACATTTACACCCCCAGTTGATTTACTCAGCTGTTGATACCTGTTTATTTAAAACAAAGGCCACCCTCCCATTCCGTTCACGCTGAGATAAAGTCAGCTTCTTTGCATTACTCTGAGGGTCTTGTCACCCTTGCCTGTCTCCACTGAGCGCTCTTCCCCTGTGGGGCTTATTCACAGAGCCACTGTCTACCCTGCAGGGTTTACTCAGTCACATGCTTTCTGGAAAACTCATCTGTCTGTCGTACTGACTTCTTGAAGGGGGAGGCTACAAGCCAGGAACAAGCAGAGGGATGCTTGCGTAAATGCCAAGGGTGATTTTGTGGGAAAGTTTTACACCCCAGCCCTTGTCCTCCAGAAAACTAAAGGAGGCTATGTGCTTGCCAGTGCACACATTCACCTCCTGTGCAGTAGTGTGGGGTGTGACTCTGCCTTCAGTCATGTGGAGCCCAGCTGGAGCTGTGTGACTCAACACAAGGGCTGGTGGGACAGAGGAGCTGCGCAAGAAGCTCCTGACCCTCCTGCACACAGCCCTTCCACCCACCACCACTGGCAGGAGTGCAGAAGTGCTTACCCAGCAGGTACCCACAGGTCTGCACCTCTACTACTTTGGCCACCCAGCAAGGCGATGGTGGTTCCTCCAGAAAAGTCTCAAGGAGAAAGAAAATGAATCTCAATTACTTGATGGGACCTATATGCCGAATTTTGAGGGGCAAAGCCCCTCGGGTTCTGTTCATCCAGCCAGTCCTTGCCTTCACAAGTCCTTGTGGCTTCACGTACAGACTTGCAAGAAAGCACGGTTATGCATGTTTCATAGCAAACCATTGTAAGAGGGTGAATAGGAGAACCAAACCCTCCGAGGCCAGCTGCTGGTATAGCTGGAGGGGGTGAATCATGCTTGTTTCAGAAGCAGTACCCTTAGCCCGGAGCTAAAAGAAGCAAAGCAGGGAGTAAGGTAGGGCACTTGCTAGGAAGAATGTCATCAGTTGCATTTTTTTATTTGTTTTGTTGTGGGTTTTTTTGATGCTTGTCAGCTATTACCGCTAAATAGCAGAGCCTGTGACAATACAGAGAATATAATTGTTTTGCTCTTGAGAATACAGGGCAACATTTTCACCCAACAAGAACAAACATGCTGGGTTGTTTTAATTCCTGGCATAGCTGGGCATGTCTTATCTCTGGCTTGAAAAAATGGAAATGCATAAGGAAGATAGCCCCTTGTCTTGTTAGGTAACTACACACAACTTTCACCACAGGATGGGAGCTGTTGGCAAGATGTGGTATCAGTACAGAGATACCTCATATTGCCAGCTAAATAGATCTGTCACATTTCTTTCTGCAAATGTTATGTCTACTACTACTACTACAAATAGCACAGCTGAGTGATAAAACTTAAAAAATGTGAAAAATATTTTCTCTATTTTCAAGTCTGTTTGCCTTGTGAATCTCACACCATTTTGTTTTGTCAAACCGATGTTTCAGGCCCACAGGGCCAGCACTTCTCTGACCTTCACACCCGTGCTCATCATTAACAAGCAGCAGAGCTTAAAACAGGCTTTGCAGCAACTCACACGGGACAGAGAAGGCAGTCTTGTTAGGTACCTTTTAACTAGAAGGAAACAGGAATAAGATAACCGTATACAAGAATATTGCTCTAAAAACACTAAAACATGCTCTTTAATGACTGTTGACTGAGGCCTGGCCCTAGAGAGACTGAAAGAATTTCACATTGCCAGAACCTTCCTTCCACGAATAGTCATACTGATTTCATGTACTTCTTTAGGATCAGGTCTTAGATGACTCTATTTTTAACTACATGAAGAGCTAGCAAGTTTAAAACACCTTAACCCTCCAGCTGAGTCTATATAGATTTGAAAGTAATTCTATTCTGCACATAATTCATGTGTATATCAATCAGCAAAGAGTAAACAGCAAGTGCTGCAGTAAGTCTCATGTCACTAATTTCATGGCAGTACAGAAATATGCTACTGTAAATTAACTAGTACATTATGGTGCGTTATAAATAATTAAAACTAAAACTGCAATTGACAAAATGGATGAAGTAAGAACATTCTGTAATGCACTGTTCTTATCCTACTTTATAATTTCCTTACTTGGGTAAACCACTAAGTATGACTAAATATTTAAGCACAGGAAGGAATTAATTAGTATAATTTATTAATTTGGAAGGTACCTTGATCAGAAAAAAATTAAAACATGTTAAAACATACACATAGGCCACCCTCAGATAAAACAACAACCTGCACACCATGCAAAATAACCCAGTCCTTTACCATCTTTCACAGATCTCCAAGGTGAAGCCAAAGGGAGCATACTACAGGAGTGGTGAGTGACCCAGGACACAGCACGCTGACTGTGGGACATCAAGAACTAAGAAAGACCCCATTGTACCTGATCTTAGAGGGCAAGGGAAAGAGATGGACTCCTCCAGTCACCCCAGTTGACTGCTCCTGATGTTCAAGGAGGTGCATAGGAACTATAGGTCTCCCCATCAGCCAGGCTTTTCCTCAGCAGGATCTGTTTTACAGCATTGCGTGCAAGTCTGACAGCCGAATGCAGGGCACATGAGAAACAGATTCTGCTTTGGCATCTGAATTAGAAGCAGTTCAGCTTTTGAGACCTAGAGATGAGAAGAGACAGATAGGTGGACAGCATATGAGTGATACCACTATATCTTTCAGAGGAATTTTTTAAAGCAGACCAAAAATGCTTTCATGCAACTTCTTAGAACTCTGTGTGCCTCACTACTTTAATCAATAGCAAATGTCAAATTGTTTTTGCAGAGGTTTTGTTTTTGTTTTTTTTTATTCTTTAGTTTCACTGAAATAGGGGGTATCTTTTTTTAGATAGGCATAAAACAGGCTGACAAAACCTGCTGCTTCATTATCTCCATGTGAATTCCGTATTCTGCTCCTCCACTCTCTGCCTTCTCCTCTGTCTTCTCTGAAGTACCACAGAGCTCTCCATCAGCTTTTCCTTTTCTTTTTTTTTTCTTTTGAATTTGCTGGTATTTATTTACAGAACAAAAAGCTTTATCAATTAATGTACTGCTTATGCTGTCTGAGCTAGCCCTGACCTTCACTGCCAGAGAACAATCCCTACTGACAATCAGGGCCACACCCTGCACCATTTTCTTGGTGCAGCACCATGGAGGTGGGTGTCATTGCCCACCTTCCCCCTCCAAAGCAGCAGGTGGGAGGATGAGGGATAGTGTCCCAGGACAAACCTTCAGGGGGAAATCCACGTGTGGAGAGGGCTCTGACCATGTTTTTGTAACATCCAAGGGGGTTCCTACACCTCTGGAGTCCACCATGGCATGGAAGGATCCTCACTGATGCTGCCTTGGCTGGGTCCACAGGCATCCCTGGGGTGCTGGCTTGATGGCAGACTGCACCCACCTCCCCATCTGTGTGAAAGCTGAGAGGTGGAATGGAAAAGCTGTAAGTATCTGTGTAACCTTGACTTGTGCTGTTACATTGGAGCAGACAGAAATCATAAGAGACAGCAATCCTCTTGCTTCACAGCATAAGGAATCTTCCACCCAGCAGAGCAGGGGCACAAACAGCAAGTGAGAATGGCCCAGAGGAAAAGCTTAGTTCTAACTGATTGGAAAAGGGATCCTCCACCCATCTGTTACTGCCTACACTTGCTGCAGCACCTGTACTTGGAGGCTGAGCAGAGGAACCGACAGCCTGTTCTGGTAGAAGACACTCCACAAGCTACCTCAGGGAGTCTCTGGACCATATGAGGAGACCCATCAGGCACTGGGCAAGGCTGGGAGAGAACAGGATGCTCCTGTAGGGATGCACTTCCCTAAGAGACCTTCACTTCTGGACAAAGCCTTGTAGCTGAGAGCAGATGCCTGTAATAGCACCCCGGCATGGATGATGACACCAGTGGGTTTGTGCTGGGTATAAGAAAAGACACTTTATAATTGTAACTTTCTTATAATAATGATGGATTAATCCCATCTTTGCTAATCTACCAGGACATAATAGCTGACATAAGACTCCTCCCAAGCCACAATGGGTGCTCACAGCTCTTTGAGCCAGAGATTGTTAAGCACACAGTTAACTCCCACAGACTATTTCCTTCTTTTTTTTGCAACCATTTCTTTAGGCAAGTCTCTCCTGATACTTCAAAAATTCATTTTAATCAATTTAAAATTAATAAAGAGAGTGAAATCCTTAGGGCCTGAAAGCTCCAATCTCTGCCTTGCTGGAAGTGATGAGTCAGCTTGAGCACGGCCGCCATGGAGCCTGTTTAGGGACGCCTCCAAGGAGCTGCCGCTGCGCTGAATTAGGTCACTTGGTTTGCTATTTACAGAGGGGCAGCCGTCTCTGCAATTGGAAGTTTTCTTCCCCCGATGTGAAAGCTGCTGTACTCTGACAGCACAACCACTGTGACACCTCGCTGTTGCACAGCTGCTGCGGCTCTGTCCTGTGCATTCACTGGTCAGGAGCACGACTGAGCCTCTGAGAGGAGGGAAAGGACCTTGGCCACCGGCAGCAGGACATGCAGGGTCCCATCTCACTCCTGAAGTGCTGCACAGTGTCTCTGGAGGGGGACTCTGGACTCCTGCCTTGGTTACTAACCCAGACTCTGCCTGGGCCAGGAATGGAAACCAGCAACCCTGGGAGCCAGTCCTCCAGCTTGTGCCTCCACCCAAAGCCAAGACTCAGGCCCAGGCCCGGCTCCACTCACTGCACAAGAGAACACGTGCTCCTCGGCGCCAGAGCAGAGCCGCAGTACTCCCTCGCTAATCACCCGGGTCTAATTGCTGTGCCAGGGTTCTAACAGGCAGCTCCTATGCCAGCTCTCCAGGGGATTAACATTAAGCCTCTGCTTTTTGCACTGATGCAGCAGATGAGGAAAAGCAGTTCCCACCTTGCATGCCCAGAGCACATGAGCCAGTCACCTCCATGGGTCACAGCAGTGCTTGGATGCCAGCAAGCAGGCAGGGCCAGCCTAGGGCAGCAGCAGACCCAGCAGCAGCACGAGGCTGGTGTCATGGGCTTTTGGCAAGAAGAAACGCTCTGCCCTACTCCTCATGTCCAGTGCCAGGGGATAATGGAGGCTGAGGAGCTCTTACAGTGCTTCTGCAGCATGAAACCTCCCGGTCTGTAACAGGGGAGCAGCAACAGCATTGATGGAAGGGCAGAAGCCCTCACAACCTGCCCATGACATCCCTCTCTACCTCCTGACCAGCCTCAGGTTTCCTCAGCACATCCCTTCTTGGGCCCCCCAAGGAAGGGCACAGGGATCCCTAACACTGACGGCCATTCCCTAAAGGTGCACAATGCAACTGCTGTTCTCCTGGGCTGGGAAAAGGGGTCAGGAAAGCTATGTGCCAGCCCTTTCAGGAACAGCCAGGCTCTGCTGGAAGCAGAAAGGCTGCCCATCAGCTGGCAGCTATGCCTAAACCCCAATCTGAATCACCACCAGTTTCCTGCACTTATCTAAAACCACTGGTGACTTGCCTTGGAAAAAACAAGTATACAGTGTCCTGCAGCAGCTGGCACCACCTCTGCATCCCTGCCCAGCTCTCCTCCAGCATGAAGAGGACTGGCCACACAGGAAAGCAGAGAAGTCAGCTCAGTTCCCCTTGCCCCAGCAGCCACCCTAACTCTCCTATCATGCTGCTCGATTTTGTTCCTAGGTGCCATTTGCCTGATGTCAGTTATTCCTCCCCTGTGCTGGAGCACTGAGAGAATCAGACACAGTGAGGGTGTCCCATTGGTGAGGGAGCAACATGCAGTGCTCAGCAGGGCTGTAGGACTGGGAACAAAGCAGTCAGAAAGAACTGCTTGCGCTTTCTCAAAAGCAGGTTCACTTCCCCTACTAGCAGTGGCTTCAAATAACAAGATGCCTTGAGTAATTAACTGAATGTTCTTTGGATAGAGCTTGTAAAAGGAGCTTATACATATTAAACAAGAAAGATCTACTGTCTATAACTTGTTCTTTACTAACAAACAAAAGGTTTGGACTAAATTCATTTTAGAGCCAACTTTACAAGGGCCTTACGCTGAAATTATTCAGTAGAAAGAACTGAATGGAGTCCAGAGCATTTATGAGGGGCCGACCACAAAAAGCAAGGTTTGTGGTAGGATTGTTTGTTTTTTTAAGAAAATCAAATACTCTCTCTTTTCTGGCATTAACATGACAGAGCTGCAAAGATTTAGCAGTAGCACTGCATTCGCCTCCAAGGAACACACAAAACAACTGCTTCCTTAGTTAGATCAGCTGCTGGAGCAAGTGCTACAGTTGCCATTATCAGAGCTGAAAGTGGAAAGGAATTCCTCATTAATGCACTGAAGAACAAAGGATCTTCTCTGTAACAAGGGCCTGTATAGTGCTAGGTGCTGGGACTACAGTATCTTTGCATCCTGACATACTCTTGCCCAATGTAGCCTGCTGTTCCATCAGAAGTAACAACTTGGTAGTGAAGCAAATTAATTCTACTCTATCAATCGCTGTTTTTTTCCACTTGCAACAACAACCAAAATCCAATGTTCTATCATCAAAATAAGGTAATCACAGCAACATGGAGCTCTTCTAGGCAGAAACACAAAAGGTACTCAGCACATCATTATTACATAAGACTCAGATGCTCCACTGTATTTGGCTTATACTGCAATAGCTGGCAGTTAATACTGCTGTGGGGTCTGTGAAAAATGGCATGAAAGGAAACATACGCAAAATGTTTATTTAAATGAGTTTGGTTTGGTACCACCAGAAAGAGAAAAAAAAAAACACTCAAAAACCTGCCTGCGCAAACCAGTATTTAGCCCTTTAAAGGCTAAATGGCATTTAAAGAATAGAAGAGCTGCTGCTCTCCTGTTCCTCTGCCCTGCATCTCCTATTATATTCACGGGGGAGCAGGCAAAAGCATCCATGGCACGTAGCAGCAAGAGGCACCAGGAACACCTTAGGAGGCCAGCACAGGCAGAGTTCACCAACTCCCATCCCCTAAACAACCCAGCTCAAGAAAACACAAAGGAGACCTCCCCCAACAGCAGGAATGAAGCCCGAGAAGATGACTACTACAATCCAGCAATTCAATGCTAGTCAAACACATCACCAGTAAACTGTTAAAGGCAGACGTATGCTTCTGCTACAGAGAGAAAGCTTTGATGATGGGATCTTTCCCAGCTGTTGGTAACAGGCTCAGTACAAAAGGTCAGACTGGGAGTTAGTCACAACACAGGGCTTTCTGCGCTCCTGGCAGGCTGTTGGACATGAGCTATTCTGGACACAAACTCAAATGCAAGTGGTATATGACCTGGGAATACACAGAGACAAAATGTCTACCACAGAGAGAAGAGCAATTGGAGGTTGGACTAGGCTCTGTTTAGAACTCAATTCCTGCTCTAACATCCTCTTTCTCACAACAGTCTTCAGAAGGGTTCAGCCACTTCAGGGACCCAGAGCTCTAACATTCCTGCTTACCAGCTGCCTAAACTCACAAATGTCAGCATTTCTGAACTTACAGTCTCGAGAGACCCAGATCTTCTGAATATACTGGGAAGCATATCAGCTTCAACACTGCAGAGCAGCCTAGTGTCTATTTTATGCCTAAGCCTCTCATATGCAAGAAGGGGTTTTATCTCTTCCAGAGAGGAGCAAAGTGACAAAATTATTTCCTGCTCACCTATTAATATTCAGCTGTGAGAGACAAAAGATTTTTGCTCACTGAAGAGAAATAAAGATGAACCAAAGTGACTGAATGTATTTCTTTTTTTAAAATTATTAAATTTTTTTATTTGTTTTAATTATAGAAATTGAAGCCCTGCTTCATTGGAAGGCTGCAGGGTGACTAAGACCCAGTGCAATGGTACATGACAGAATAAACCTGTAAAGTTTGCGTGTGAGATTTCAAAAAGATTTCCTCAAATGTCACACACTGAGCACCACAGACGCTCCTGATATAAATAACAGAATTATCCAAAGAAACAAACAAAGCTTTCTTTACCTATCAAAAAGAAGGTGAGAACATAATGACAATTTATGTGCATTCTTTGCAGGCCATGTCTAACTGGATGCTGCAAACAACTGCATGCCTTGCGGAGGACTTCCTTACATCCTGCCTGTCCTATCTGTATACTCCTACTGGTCAAACCAAAGTCTCTGAAAAGATAGGCCTGGATGAAGATCAGAATTCAAGGTTGGATTTTGTAGTGAAGCAATAAAGAAAAAATTCAGTGCTTTAATGGCAAAATTATGAGTGTCATAATTTCAGTTCCCAACTTCTGTTTTTTTTTTTTCCTATTACTGAGATTAGATCAGAGTAAAATGCAACCATCAAAGCACTGTCATAATCAAAGAACAGTTGCTATGCTTTCTTTTCTTGGCCATTTAACATAGCTTGCTGGGAGGAAAAAACCCACCCCATTAATGCTCGAAGAGGAGCAACCTCAGGTTTAGGTCATAAGTTGCTTTCTGTGGTTTGGTTGCCACAGCTACTGTGGACCTAGTTCTGTTGAATCGCGAATCATTCAGAGATCAGGAGTGGTATCATCACAAGGAACAGTACACAACCAGATTCAGGCCCTGGGTGGTTACAGAACATGTCTCTGTTTGCCCTTTCTACTTTTCACTCACAGTGCTGTCATCCTGCCAGACTGCCAACACAACAAAAGGAAAGAACTTCATACTTTTTCAGAAGCAGTATTTGTAAAGAGCGTTGTCCTCAAGTGTCTGATGCATCCAACTCCAAAAGCATCTAATACAGCAGGTAAATAAAACATTACAAAAAATGGGCAAGCTGAGATTTTAATAAGAATTAGTAATTATCAGGAAGTCAGAGCTTCCCTCCCATAGTATGCTAACACATACTGCTCCGGACTAATTCCATTCAAAGTTATAGTATTACTTTGGGTTTACACCAACAGAGGTGCTGCTTCCTGGCTTGGTTTTATTAGCCTGATCCCTGTAACTTGTAAAGAACATTCCAAGTAGTTTATTTATCACAGATTTTTTTCTTCCTGTGAAACTGTAATTTATCACAGAATGGTTAGGGCTGGAAGGGACCTGTATCACAGTATCACAGTATGCTAGAGATTGGAAGGGACCTCAAGAGATCACCTAGTCCAATCTCCCTGCCAGAGCAGGAACACCTAGATAATGTTACACAGGAATGTGTCCAGGCGGGTTTTGAATGTCTCCAGGGAAGGAGACTCCACAACCTCCCTGGGCAGCCTGTTCCAGTGTTCTGTCACCCTCACTGAGAAGAAGTTTCTTCTCAAGTTTAAGTGGAACCTCTTGTGTTCCAGTTTGTACCCGTTACCCCTTGTCCTATCATTGTTTGCCACTGATTAGAGCCTGGCTCCATCCTCGTGACACTCCCCCTTTATATATTTATATACACTAATAAGGTCACCCCTCAGTCTCCTCTTCTCCAAACTATAGAGACCCAGCTCCCTCAGTCTTTCCTCATAAGGGAGATGCTCCACTCCCTTAATCATCTTCGTTGCCCTGCGCTGGACTCTCTCCAGCAGGTCCCTGTCCTTCTTGAACTGAGGAGCCCAGAACTGGACACAATATTCCAGATGGGGTCTCACCAGGGCAGAGTAGAGGGGAAGGAAGACCTCTCTCGACCTACTAACCACCCCCCTTCTAATACACCCCAGGATGCCATTGGCCTTCTTGGCCACAAGGGCACAGTGTTGGCTCATGGGCATCCTGTCGTCCACTAGGACCCCCAGGTCCCTCTCCCCTACACTGCTCTCTAACAGGTCGTTCCCCAACCTATACTGGAACCTGGGGTTGTTCCTGCCCAAATGCAGGACTCTACACTTTCCCTTGTTATATTTCATCAAGTTATTCCCTGCCCAACTCTCCAGCCTGTCCAGGTCCCACTGGATGGCAGCACAGCCTTCTGGCGTGTCAGCCACTCCTCCCAGCTTAGTGTCATCAGCAAACTTGCTGATAGTACACTCAATTCCCTCATCTAAATCACTGATGAATATATTAAATAATACCGGTCCCAGTACTGACCCTTGAGGCACTCCACTAGTTACAGGCCTCCAACTAGACTCAGCCCCATAGACTACAACTCTCTGGCTTCTCTCCTTCAGCCAGTTCGCAGTCCACCTCACTACCTGATCATCCAGACCACACTTCCTCAATTTAGCTGTGAGGATGCTGTGGGAGACTGTGTCAAATGCTTTGCTGAAGTCAAGGTAGACTACATCCACCGCTCTGCCATCATCCATCTACCGTGTTATTTCCTCATAAAAGGCTAAGAGATTGGTCAAACATGATTTCCCCCTGGTGAAGCCATGTTGACTGCCCCTCATAACCCTCTTATCCTTGATATGCCTTAAGATGGCACCAAGGATAAGGTGCTCCATCACTTTCCCAGGGATGGAGGTGAGGCTGACCGGTCTATAGTTACCCGGGTCCTCCTTCTTGCCCTTTTTGAAGACTGGAGTGACATTTGCTTTCCTTCAGTCCTCAGGCACCTCTCCCGTTTCCCAAGACTTGGTAAAGATGATGGAGAGCGGTCTAGCAATGACTTCCGCCAGTTCCCTCAGCACCCGCGGGTGCATCCCATCTGGACCCATGGATTTATGGATGTCCAGATTGCTCAACTGATCTCTAACCCATTCCTCATCGACTAAGGCAAACCGCTCCGTCGACCTGACTTCATCTAAGGTCTCAGGGGTACAGGGCTCTTCAGGACTGCCTGCAGCAGAGTAGACAGAGACAAAGAAGGCATTCAGTAACTCTGCCATCTCTGTATCTTCTGTCACCAGGGCACCCATCCCGTTCATCAGTGGGCCTACATTGCCTCTGGTGTTAGTTTTATCTGCCATGTATTTGAAAAAGCTTTTTGCTGTCCTTGACCCTTCTCGCCGGGTTTAATTCTAAGGATGCCTTAGTCCTCCTAGCTGCCTTCCTACATCCTCTAGCAGCAGCCTTATATTCCTCCCAAGTGGCCAGCCCCTCCTTCCATGACCTGTAAACTCTCCTCTTCCACTTGAGCATACCCAGCAATTCCCTATTTAGCCACGCAGGTCTCCTGGCCCTCTTCCTTGACTTCCTACGTGTTGGGATGCTCCGATCTTGAGCTCGGAAAAAGCAATCCTTGAATGCCAACCAACTATCTTGGGCCCCTTTACCTTCAAACAGCCTTGCCCATGGGATTTCCCCTAGCAATTGCTTGAAAAGGCCAAAGTTTGCCCTGCTAAAGTCCAGGGTTGCAATTCTACTTGCTATTCTACTGGTCCTACCACACAAGATCCTGAATTCCACCATCTCGTGGTCGCTGCAACCAAGGCAGCCCTCAACCCTTACTGCTTCGACCAGACCCTCCTTGTTAGTGAGGATGAGATCCAGCAGCGCTCCTCTCCTGGTCGGCTCATCCACCATTTGCAGGAGGAAGTTATCATCCATACACTGGAGGAACCTCCTGGACTGCGGCTGGGTTGCCGAGTGGTCCTTCCAGCAAACATCAGGGAAGTTAAAATCCCCCACGACGACCACGGCCTGTGACCGTGAGGCCGCTCTCAGCTGCCTGTAGAAGGCCTCGTCAACTTCCTCACCCTGATCCGGTGGTCTGTAACAGACACCTACAACAGTATCACCCCTGCCAGCCTGCCCCTTAATTCTCCCCCACAGACTCTCAACTTGCTCGTCATCTGTCCCCAGACAGAACTCGGTGCATTGTAGTTGCTCCCGCACATAAAGAGCAACCCCACCACCCCTCCTGGCTGGCCTGTCTTTCCTGAAAAGGACATAGCCCTCCATGACTATATTCCAGTCATGTGAGCTGTCCCACCACGTCTCTGTCTGCATTAAGACTCAGTTTGACTTACCAGTCTGCAGCAACTGGATGTGCTTGAGCAAGTGCAATGTAGTAAGAGGGAACAAGGTGATTTTAACTTTCCTTGTAGCATTGGCATGAACAACACTGGAATTGTGTCTGCAGTTTTGTATACCCACATTTAAAAGGAACACTAAAAATTCAGCCGTGCAGACAAGCACATGCTTGTCAAGCATTCTTAAAGCAAGGGCATAAACCACACCCTCAAGAGTAATTAAATGAAGAAAAG